ATCCCTAAGCGCTGCCCCATAGGGCACATAGGAGCAGCAAACCAGGCTGCACCGCAGAAGGGTTTGGGTTGAAGGGAGCTTAAAGCTCCTCCAGCTCCAACCCCTGCCATGAACAGGGACCCTTTCTACTAAAGCAGCTTGCTCCAAGCCCCTGTGTCCAACCTGGCCTTGAGCACTGCCAGGGATGGGGCAGCCACAGCTTCTCTGGGCACCCTGTGCCAGCGCCTCAGCACCCTCATCACTGCCACATCCCTGGGTACAAAGAGCCACCAACCGCAGCAGACAGCAAAGCCCAGGAGCCTCCCTGCTGCCATGGGTGCTCAAAGGGCAGGGTGATGGAGATGAGACCCTTCCTGAAAGAGCAGGCCCCAGCCACACACACCCCACCATCACCCTGCCCTGCACTGGACACCAGCCAGACCCACGGGTGACAGCTCAGGATGCTTTGGGATGCTGGAGCATCCCTGCTGGGAGGGAAGGGACCAGCCAGCTTGTCCTGTCCCAGTGCTGGCTGCCTGCTCCTCATCCCCGCAGTGGGTGAAAGCAAGCTTTGTGCTGGGGTTCCAGCTCTCCTGCCTGGCTCCTGGCCCAGGCACCACACCACAAGGGTGCCCAAATGGAGCTCCCGTGTGTCCTGCTCTAACCCACAGCACCTTTCACCTCGGCACACAGCAGCCACCCCCAGCAGGAGCCATGGGAAGCAATGGGCTGCTTACCCAAACCATTCCTTGGTTCTATGGCAGCAATGGGGCTCGGGGTGCACCCAGGGAGGGAGGGTGCTGCCTGGAGCTGGGGGTCTGACTGCACCCAGACCCTGCTGCAGTGGTGGGGAAGGGAGGTTCATCCCCTTCCTGCATGTTCCCTCTGCTAGGACACGCTGGGAGAGGTGTCCAACCCCACTCCCTAAACCCATGGGACCCCCCATTCCCACAGCATCCCGATGAGGATCCCGCATCCCGCCTGGCCTGACCCACTGCATCCCCACAAAACACTTACAAGGCTTTTAAAATACAAACCCAAGCAGCAAGAAATGCATTTCCAGCCCAGGACACTGCATCTTGCATCCCAGCATCGGGCAGGCGGGAGGGAGGGAGAGAGGGATGAAGACCCGGACCCGCACGAGAGGATGGATGGAGATAACAACAGGCTGTGAGAGCTCTTGTAGTCCATAGGACCTTAACTGGAGCTTCTATTCCAGTGGTTATTAAAAATAAAGGGGGGGATTAGGGGGAGAAGCGGAGAGCAGAGCAAGCTGTTCATTTGGAGCCTTTCCCTTGGGTTTAATAAAGCCCCACTCACTGCTGTAGTATCATTTTTATGCTATCATAAAGCTGGACCATTTAGCAGGTTTGTGTTACTTCAGCAGTTAGCGCTGCATGAAAAGCGATTCCAGAACAAGGGGGGGGGGGGATAAATTATAAGGAAGAGGAAAAACCTCCAAAAGGAGGGAGAAAACTGAGGTGGGAAGGAGGAGAGAGCCCGGGGGCTCCTCACAGTGATGCCACCAGCAGCTCATGGGCAGCAAGAGGGCTCTGCATCCCTGTGGGAAGTCGGGGATGGATGAGGAATCCCATGCTCCAGGCCTGGGATGATGAAGAGTGATGGACCCCAGCCCAGCATCCCATGGGTGCTGTGGGAAAGGGTCGGAGGGGTTCCCAGGGGCACTGCATGTGCAGGGATGGGAGCAGGGGAGTCCCCTCAAGGGCTCCTCCAGCCCTGGGACATTCAGGATCTCCCGGGCTCTCCCGGCCCCTCGGCAGCTCCCCAGGGAGCATCGGGCTTCTCCGTGCTGCTGGAAAATTCTCCATATATGGAGAGGATGGGAATACGTGAGCAGAGCCCAAACCCCCCAACGGGAGAGCCCTGCCCCAGCCGTGCCCCCCCCTCGGGGCCGTGCAGCACCCTCATGCCGATGGGAGCGCGCTGGTTGTGCACCCCAAAGCCACAACACCCCCGGGACTGTGTCACCCCATCACCCCCCTGCAGCATCACCCACTGCCGTCTGCAAGGGGACAGTCACCCCCATCAGCCCCAGTGCTGCTTGGAGCCTCTCCAGCCACACGGGCAGCATCCCAGTTGGATGCAGGAGCCCCCATCCAAGCGGGGCAGGGGGTCACCAGTGATGGAGCACACAGAGCCTGGAGCAGCTCCCCCAATGGAAGCTTCTTGTGTCCCACCATGGTCCTGCTCCCCTGGCCGGAGCTCAGGGTTCTCCACACCCCATGGGGAGGTGAAGCACCCCGGAACCCCCAAACCTTTGACCAATGAGATGCTCCCACCCCAACACCCTTCCCACCCCTTTTCCTCCCTCCCTAATTCATCTCCATCCTGCCCTGCAAAGGGATGGTGGCACTTTGGGGGGGGTATCTCTGCTCCCAGCTCCATGGGCCCCCCACCGCAGGAGCATCCAGCAATGTAAAGGAGGAGGAGGATTAGGGGAGGGCTGGGAATTAAGGATTTCAGCGCTGTCAGAGCCGCAGCAGACAGGCATCCACCAGCTGAGTGCCTGATTGTTATATTTTGGATGTCAAACCGGAGCAAGCAGAAACCTTCAGAACGCCTTCAGCGCCGCTGCCTTTCTGACGGAGGGTGTTGGTTTCCCATTAACAAGTGGGAAGCGGGAGCTGGAGCAGAAAACTTCAAGCGCTTTGGAATTGATAAAATAACAACTCCCTAATTAAGCAGAGCTGTCAGTCAATGGGTGCCCGCTGCAGCGGGAAGAGGCAGCATTGCCCAGAACACGAGCCCGATGTGCACGCATTAGACCTTCACACCCCATTAGACCTGGTGCTGATGCTGAGCACGGCCAAGGGGTTTAGAGCTTGCCCCTCAGTTTGTCTCCCCATCAAACCATGCCATGCAAGACGCAGGTTGGTGGGAAGGAGACCCCAAAATGCACCCGCCCTGTGCAGTATCATTCCCCTACGGGATAACTGTTCCCAGCTTGGGGAATGTATCCTGATAGAACATCACACACCACAGCCAGGCACAGCATCCCCATGGCTGGCTGGATGCAGGAAGGGGTCCCAGCAACAGACCCTAGTGCAGAGCAGAGTTTGGGGAAGTCACCACACAGCCATGGGATGCCCCATGGGGTGCTGTGCCCTCGGCTGGGGCTCCCAGCTCTCCATCACCCGCACTCCCAGTACAGGGAGGCTGTGAAGCAGCAGGCTAAGGGAGCAGCCCATAACCCAGGACCACGCTGCGACACCGCTGCACTGGGGAATGAAACGCTTCAAACCCACTGGGCTTCCCCCAGGCTGAGGCAAGAGGAACCCAGCATCTCCAGGGGTTCTTCCATCAGCAGCTCCTTGCCACAGCATTGATGCCATCACCCCGGTGCTCCCTCAGCTGCCAGCCACACATGGGGCACAAGGGGGGACAGCCAGGAGGGACCTGGGGCTATGGGGAAGGTGTTTAACCCCTGGCACGGAGGGGTCTGATGAAGGCACCAAGCAAAGGGGGTCCCCGGATGCTGCTTCTTGCTCTGCCAGCATGGCATCAGGCACCAGCAGCATGAGGGCACCATCCTGGTGTTTCACCGGGCAGCACTCGGCCCCACCAAGGGGGGCACTGGGCTGGGATGGGAGGTTTGAGCCCAGTGCCAGCACCACTCCAGCTGGGAGATGGAGAGCATCCCATCCCAGGGTGCAGCCATGCAAATGCACCCATGCACCCACCTGCACGGCTGCTGCAAATGCCCCTTCGTGCCAGCAGCAGCCAGACCCTGACCCTCTCCCCTTTGCACACCACACACAACGAAGCCTCCAGCAACGCACACGGAGCTGCTTGGGAATCCCTTTGCTCCTCATCCCAGCCCTGACGAAACACATCCCAGCTCCCATCAGCACACGTCCCCCATAGTCCACAGCCTCGGGGAGCCCCTTCACGCCCAGCACATGCTCGGGCCACACAGCTCTCGTTGCAGGCGGAGGGTTGAGAGCCCCACACACACCACAACCACCCCCTGCCACCGCCACAGCCCCCAAACCCTGCCCCAGTGACTCTCAACACTGGGGGGACACCGGTTGCCGCTACCTCCCCATCAGGAGCAGGGCAGAGCAGAGAGAATGCCCAGCTCCATGCAAAACCAGCTCCCATGGCCCGGCCACCGGTGCCATGGACAGAATCCAGGCTCCCTGCCCCGAAATAGCCCCGTCTGCAAGCGAGAAGGACCCCCACGGCCAGGACACGCCGTGCCAGAGCCAGGGTTGGTACCAGAGCCTCCAAAGCCTCGTTACACACTAATCACACTGGAGGTGACAGGGCTTAGGGGAGGGCTTAAGAGAAACCGGCTCCTTTTTACTGACACCATCTGGACACAGGGATCTCTTCCCCCTTCCCGGGCGAGCGTTAGCCAGAGGGGCAGGAGCCAGCGTGACCCCCTAGGACTCAGCACCCTCAGTGCTAGGACAGTCAGCGCGCTGCATCCCGGAGTGAGAGGGGGGAATCACTGCCCGCGCTAGGGATTTCCAACCAGCCCACGGTGCTGTGCCAACCGGGAACAGAGCCGGGAATGCCAGCATGGAGCCAGCGGGGGACCGCGTGGTGCCTGCGTGCCCGCCGGGATGGTGGGGATGAGACGGGGGGACGGGACGGGACGGGGCACACTGGGGGAAGCCAGCCCGGAGACATGTGCTCGGACGCGACACCGGAGGGCAGGGACCTCGGGTCACCGTGATGGTGCTGGGACCGTCACTCGCCGTCCCCCGGTGCTCGCACACCGCGACCCATCGCTCAGCTCGGCCCCAGGCCGGCGGGGGAAGCGGGCACCAGCTCACCCCGCTTCCAACACACAGCACCACGAGGCGCCGGCTGCCCCCGAAACTTAACCAAGCCCTCATCCAAGCGGGGATCCCCCAAACCCACACCACACCACACCACACCACACCACCCCCCTCAGCCAGGGGCAAAGCTCCGGTTGCGCAGGGGGAAGCATCCACGCGTTGGGAAGCGGAGAGGAAAGTTGGGCCGGGGATGGGGTGAGAGGGGTCAGGTACCTTCCATCCGGCGGAGCTGTTGCTGTCTCCTTTATCCTTAAAGTAGGGGACGTATCGCACCATCCAGTCGTAGATCTGCGAGAGCGTGAGGCGCTTCTCGGGCGAGCTCTCGATGGCTTTGGTGATGAGGTCGGCGTAGGAGAGGTTGCCCCAGGCGTTCCTCCGGGAGGTCTTGGCCTTGCGGAGCTGCCCCACGTCCGCGCCGGGAGGCGGCAGGGGGGGGGCAGCGGCGGCGGCTCTGCGCTCCGCCGGGGCCGCCGTGTTCTCGGTCCCCTCCGCGCCACCGGCCCCCCGCGCCGGGGGTCCCCCCGAGGCCGCGGCCCCATCGTCCTCCTCCGCCGCGAAGTCGGGGTGCGGGAGAGGCCAAGTGCAGGACCGGGGCCGGCTCTGCGGCTCGAAATCCGGGTCGATCTCCACCTGATGCGCCTGGAGCTTCTCTTCCATGGTCCCCTCCCCGCCGCTCCCGCCCTCCCTCCCCCCCCCCCCGGCAGCCCCCTCCCCGAGTTACGGTCGGTTTCCACCAAAAAACAAAAAATTAAAGAAAAAAAAAACACAAAAGAAGAAACAACCAAAAACCCCCCAAAACACGGGAGGAAGAAGAGTGCGAAGAAGGCTCCGAGCTCGGGTGGAGCGGAGGAGGGAGGAGGGGCCGCTCCGAGCCGGGTCCCGGCGGGGCCGCAGCCCCGGGTCCGGCCGCTCTCGCCCTACGCGGCGGCTCTGCCCGGCTCCGCGCCGGACACCGGGAGGTTAACGGGAGCGGCGGGCCGGGGCGGGTGCCGCATGTCCATCGGTCTCTCCAGCAGCGGCGGGCGAGGCGGGGGGAGCGGGCTGGGTTTGGGTCGGTTTGGGGTCTTTTCTCTCGTTTGTTTGTATGGTTTGTTGGTTTTTTTTACCGGCCGCGGAGCTCCGGAGTCGTTCCCGGCACGGCGGCGGCAGCGGCAGCGGCGGGCGGGCAGGGCGCGGGGGCTGCCGCATCCATCGGCGGACGCTGCACCGGGGGCTGTCGGCTCGGTCAAGCAGCAACAGATGCACCGGTGCGACCGGCGGCGGGCGGCATCCTCGGCCGGGAACCGGCGCCCTCCGGGGGCCGGGCGGCGCTGGGGGCACCTGGGCGGGGAGAGGCGGAGGGGCGGGCGGCCCGGCGCTAAGTCCGGCGGCGCGGCGGAGCCATGCTGGCGGGCGGCACGCACCTGACAGCGCCCGGGCGAGGGCGGCGGCGGCGGCGGCGGCTCCCCGCCCCTACGCCCCCCCGCTCCGCTTCAGCGGCCGCGCACCTGCCCGCCGCCGCCGCCGCCGCCGCGATGCCGCCACGGCGCGGGCGGGCCACATGCTGGGGCGGCCGCCGCTCGGTCGCTCCTTCGCCCGCTCCCGTCTCCTTCCTTCCCTCCCTTCCTCCGCCGTGCCCGGCCCCGAATGCGGGCGCCGCCGTGACACCGGGGGGGAGGGCCCGGAGGGGCGGGGGGAGAGCGGCGGAGGGGAGTGCCCCGGCGGGGCGGGACGGAGAGAGCGGAGCCGACCGGACGCACCGCCCCCCCCCCCACCCGAACCCTCCGGTCCCGGTCCTGTTCCCGTTCCCCCCCCCCACCCCTCCGGTCCTGGTCCCCCGACCGCGGCCCCACGTGCGCCCCGGGCGCGCCCCCCCATCGTTGCCCCGAGCGGCGGACGCCTCCTGATTGGCTGGAGGTGCCTTTAGTCACGCCCCTGCCCATTGGCGAGGCGCCGGCGGGACGCCTCGCGGGGGGGGGGGTAGGGGGGGGAAAGAAACCCTCCCCGCGGGTGACGTCACACTGGACACGCCCCGTTACTACGGGCCACGCCCCCAACCTCAGGCCACGCCCCTCAGCCCGCGACTACGCGGGGTCTGCCCGGGTGGTGACGCGGTTGATGTCATCGGGGAGGTGTGCGGTAGCGGTGACGTCAGAACCACGGTGCCTGCATCCCTTGCACCGGAGGATGCTCTGGGGCTGCCCTGGCCCCGTACACGTGCGCTGCTTCTCCGCTGGTCCCATCCCATGTGCGAGGAGCTGGGCTAAGGTCACCCAAGCAGCGGTGAAGCCGATGGTCCCAGCCTCCAAGTGCTCGCCAGACAGCTCCAACAATGGAACAATGTCTGATGGAACAGGTATCAGTTGTTACAGAGATAATAAATAGATGCAATAGACGCATAGGTGCAATGCAGCACACTGGAGGGATCCGACATCGCTCTGTGGCACCCAACCTGCCTGCGGGCACCCGGTGTCCCCATGGCACATCTGGTTGAGGTGCTGCATTCCTGGACCCCCAACCCGCTGCCAAGCCCCACATCTGCTGGATGGACTTGACCCCAAACCCCCTGACCCTGCAGCCCCCAGCATGGAGCCAGTTCCACACCTCCCTGAAGCATTTCTCCTGGGATCCATCCCAAATTTCCTTGCTATGGTTTACACCCACAGTCTCCTTCCCTTATCCCAAGGGCCCCAGGGCAGGATCGTTCCCTTCTCTCTCCACAGCCTTTTGCCCACTTGGAGCCTGGTGGTGTTTCTTCTCTCAGTCTTGCCTTTAAAGCCAAAACCCTCCCACATTTCTCACCCGCTCTTCCAGCCTGGATTTCCCAGCCGGAGCTCAGCTCCCCAGTGCCAAGCCGAGCTGGAAGCCCCACTCTGCACAACCCTTCCCATGCTGCTCCTGTGGGTCCCTTTCCCTTCCTGCGTTCTCCAGCATCACTTCTCCTCCTCCATTATAGTGGGTGCATCCCCCTGGGATCAACCTGAGCCACCTCATCCCTTGAGTGACAGCACTTGGGCCTCCTTGCCCCATCACTCCGGTGCTTCATCAGCACCCGGTGCTGCACAGACATGGTCTTGCTCACCTGCTGCCTCAGTTTCCCCACCTTAAAGCAGAATTTACCCCTGCAGACAAGGCTGGCTGCCCATGGTGAAGGTGACAGCCTTCCCCCAGCCTTCTCCAGAGCAGCATTAGGTGCTAATAGCCTCAGAATGATGTGAACAGGGGGACCTCCTGCATGCACAAACCCCTGTGTGCTGGGGAACCCCAGCAGCGTGCCAGGCATCTGAGAGAGGCAAATCCATGCATGCAGCACATCCTGTGCCATGAGAATCCACCCGAATGCTACTTGGAGCCTTTGGAAGGCCGCATGTGCCCATCCGCGGGGTGCGGGGGTCCCAAGCTGTACGGATGCAAACACTTCCAGGGAAGCCGAAGGGGAAAGAGGGGTGGGTACAATGAGGCAAGTGGAAACGTGATGTTTTTCCCTTCCCGAAATGAACTTGGGTGTTTTGACATGAGCGGAATAAACATTTTGACACTGCTGAAACAAGAAAGTCAAAGTGATTCTTCCTGGGGGAAATGGCAGGAAAATTGACAAGTTCCCAGGGAAGGATTTGATTCCAATAGAATCCCATTTTCTGATGGAAAACCATCCCAGGCAATGTCTTCCTTCAGCAGGTTTCCAGGAGGGAGCTGGGTCTCCTGCTTGCCAGGCACCGAAGTCATTCCCTAGCAGAGAAGGAAAGCAAGGCTTCCTCATCCTGCCTGGAAAAGGGAGGAATGTGGGGCGACAACACACCCCTGTGCTTCTTGGACTTGGATTCTCCAGTGTCTCATAAGGGATGATGCTGATCCTCAGCCCATGGAAGGGGCACAGGCAGTCTAACAGCAGCGGGGATTATCCCCGCCTTCACAGCCGTGTTCAGCCTCACATAGAAGAGCATCAGAGTGGGACTATATTGGTTGTCAAAGGCAAAAATACCTCTTTTTGTTTAGGGACATCTCATGAGGGGAAGTTTTGAGCTGAAAACCCGAATTGGTGCATTCTGAAGGGCTGGAGTTTTGCTGAAAAACCACACGGACACTTGGGAATGGCCTAGGAATAGTCTCATGTAACTGACAGCTCCATTTCCAATGTGATATGAGATGGGTGGGGAGCTCCCGACCAACCTTTGCTGTAGGTCTTGGATTTTCCACCACAACGGCATTTAGGGAAAAATCTGATCTTTAATAACAGTAATATTCAATAATAGTTTCCAGTGCTAATTCCTGGTAGCAATTCCAAGTGATTAAATATCCCTTTGCTTGATAGAGAACGCTGTATGTCATGCAGCAAGTTCATGAACCCTCTAATCTCACCTTCTGGCAGAGCTACCGTGGCCAAACACAAGGCAGTAAAATCCCTACAGCTCAGCACACTATTCCCTGTCTCTGCACCAAAAGGCTTCATCAGCTCTCCTGGGCTCAGCATCGCCTTGACAGCTCTCAGACACTTGTCACAGTCTCTCCTTATGGGTGCTTTTGGTGGCCAATGTGGAGGTGAGCAAAAGGGCATTCCAGCCCCAGCATCCCTCTGGGTACCACACTGGGGGGTCCGCAGCATCCCTGTTGGGATTCATCCTGCACCGAGGGATCCCCAGCCTCCCTGTTGGGATTCCCCTTGCACCATGGCATCCACACCAGGGCCTTGGTTACCCCTGAATTTGCAAGGCCAATTCCTCAGGGAATCAGTTCCAGCTTCTTCAATAGCTTCAACCTCTATTTGCATTTAGAGGCAAAACCCTTCCTCTGGAGGTTGCATGCTAATGCAGCACCCAGGAATCCCTGCATGATCGCTTCCTAGTTAGTCTCATCTGCCTGAGTGAACTGCAAACTGTTAAGCACATGGAGTGTGTCAGCCCAGATATTATCAGAACCCAGACTACCTTTCGCTGGCACCCACGGCTTGCAGACACACAGCAAAGAGTTATTTAAATCCTTTCCAGCTGTCTCCCATGTTCCCAGAGAGGCTCAGCTCCGGCAGGTCCTTTAACCCTTCCCTTCCTTAGGTGATGCAGTTTGGGGTTGCTCCTTCCTCCTCCGAGCTTTAGGCACCACCGCGGTCCAGCCACCCCTATGGGCTCCTCTCCATCACCACCAGAGCTGTCTCCCACCACCCTCCACCTTGCTCCCACACCAGCAGCAGCCCCAGCATCCCGGATACCCACACCCAGCCCGTTCCCCTCCACGTCTGGATCCCCCCAAACTTAACCCTGAGCTTCACATTTCAATTACAAACCCCAAAGCCTCTCAGCCACCAGCCCGCGGATGCTCCATCCCTCCCCATCCCGGCTTGGCGCTCTTCCTCCCTCCTCCTCCTCCTCCTCCTCCTCCTCGGCTGCCTTCCCGGAGCACATACTGAATGCGCTGTTTCACGAGCCTGCCTTGGAGCAGGAGCAGGAATCAAGAGTAAAACCCCAGTCTGCAGGGCCAGCGTGGTTGAGAAGGGCCATCTGGCTGGGCTCGCGGTCCAAGCTGCGTTTGCTGGATGGTTTGAAGGTCACTGAGCAGGGGCTGAACGCAGTTCCCTATTTCCACATATAAATAACTGCATGTCCAAGGGGAGAGCAGAACATGCCTGTAGGGAGGGTCCATGGGGGACCGATGCACACCCTGCCCTGCCTGCTGAAAGGGGAGGTGAAGCAAGGAAACAGGGCTGCAGGA